TACTCACCTTAAATGAAAATGGAGAAACTGTAGCAACCTGGAGATGTAACCATCAACATGAGAGAATGTTCCCTCCATATTCATTCATTGTCTTGGACTGGTGGAGTGGCTCAAGTGGTAGAGCACCTGCCTAGCAAGCATATTTATTCATTGTTCTTTCAGTCATTGCTCATTTCATTTTTGTAGCACTCAGATAGCTAGTTTTATTCAAGATAATTCAGGAGAGTTAAAATTTTAATGTTATCTGGGTGGTGGTGCCTGCCTATCATCCTAGCCACTCTGGAGGGTCACTTGAGAGCAGGAGTTTGGGTTGTGTGCTCTGTCAGTTAGATTTCTGCACTAAGTATCCATAGCAGGACTGAGCCAAGGAAAAGCCACTATATTTCAGCCTGGAAAAAAGTAATATTTTACATTCTCTCTTCTTTGGTCCTTCCCCCATTACCTCTTCCTCCCATCTAAGCTGGACTCTTCACCTCTAGCCAAATTGTTCTCCCTGTAGTTGGACAATGTGTCCTGCTTCTCTTTGACCATCCTAGTCCCCAAAGGCCAGTCTTTTTGCTAAAGTCTTGAAGTATACGTAGCAAATGTGTATAAAGTTCAGAACTCATTAACCACTCAGCCAACCTGATATGGTTACATGTCTTTTTACCTCTCCATCTTTCTTCCCAGCTGATGATGAGAGATCAAGTGTATCATCCTTTTCACTACCTGAATTTTTTTAGTTTTTCCTCATGCCCAACCTGTAAAAGCTCTGTAAGAGCAGAGAACACTTGGGTTCAGGTGTGAGACACAATTGTTAGCAACAATAAGGAGTTAAGGAACGTATAGGACAGCACCTGAGACATGTGAGTTATCTCAGGTGAAATGAGGAAAAGGGGGGGGGGCAAAAAAGAATGATATACTTTATCTCTCATAACCAGCCGGGAAGAAAGATGGTGAGGTAAAAAGACATATAACCATATCAGGTTGACTGAGTGGCTTTATACACATTTGCTGCACGTACTCCAAGACTTTAGCAAAAAGACTGGTTGAGTCATAAGCTACTTCTCTAAGTGCCCCAGAGATGATACTGTATCACATGTAAATTTTACCATTTTCCTGGCCTTCCCACTACTTCCTTCCTTGTCTGAATCTTCCTGTCCATCTTCAGAGTTTCTTTTTGGTTTTAGTAGGCAGCAGTGTGGTGCTTGTCTTTTTCAAATCAACTTACATACTTAGAGCATGAATTCCAGAGGGTTTTAAAACCTGGTTCTGTCACTTACTAGTGGTGTGATCTTGAACAGGTTACTCCCTAGACCGCCTCAGTTTCTTCATCTGTGAAATGGGTTTCTGTTGCATAGGATTCTTAAAAGATTACAATGATTAATATTTGTAAAGTGTGTAAAAACAGTGCATAGGCCAAAATAAGCACTATTGGAGGATTTTTTTGCTTTTATTTAAAATTATGACCCTTCAGTGGATGTTCCATTGGTGTTTTCATCTAGTACATCTAAAGAAGAAAAAAAATAGTGTAAGAGAGTTTATTCATGGAGACGTGTGAGCTGACACTTTGTTCTCAAAAGCAGAAATTCTGGCCCCATGGGCATGAAGCTCATTTATGTCAAACTCAGTTACAGCTAACCATGGTGAAAGTACTGGCCAGCCTTTTTTGCTCTGGTTATTTTTGAAATAAGTCTCACTTTTTGCCCAGATGGGCCTGGACCTTGATTCTCTTATTCATGCTTCCTTTAGTAGCTGGAATGACAGGCACATACCACCTCACCTAGCTATTGGTTGAGATAGGGTCTCTCAAGTTTTTTGCATGGGCTGGCCTTGAATTGGTACCTTCCTAGCTAGGATTACAGACATGAGCCACCAGAATCGGGCTGTAAGATATAATTCTTAAGCACTTTCTTGATTGCGTATTGAGAAAGGCAAAGTTACAGAAAATGAGTGGGTAAGCTGGGAACCCACCAGGGTGTTTTTCCCACAAGGACATCTCCTGGCATAAGTTGAGTGAATGCTGTAAGAGACCCATTTGGGTAAGCAACACAATCTTCAGCTCCTGGTTCCTTGGGTACCTCATGAGTTTGGATTTCTATGTGAAGACTGTGACATCCTCAAGGGCAAAGGCCTATGGTATTTAAGTCATGGTAACCCCCGGGATGTGCTCAAAACACTGCACAGCTCAGTCCCCTCCAACTGATGGATTTATGGTTAAGATGAGTAAGACAAATCAATGTTTGGATGCTGTCAAACCACATTTGGAGAAAGCTCTTGGATAAAAATAAAACTCCCCACAACTCCTGGTCCACCTCATCTTTACTGGTACAATTCCCGACCGAAAACACTGATTCCATTCCAGTTCCTCTCACCCCATAACGAAGGGCAGTAAAAGCCAGGAAGGACACTGAAGCAAAACCCTGGGTCTTCCTTTTAAAAGCTTATGGGGTGTAATTCCTCTTAGGAGAGAGAATCTTCCATAAGGAGAGAATCTTCCATAAGAGCGGCTTTTTATGGCACTAGTCAACACTAGGGGGCAGGAGAGAAAGCAGAGTAAATGAAAACAACTTCAGCAGGTCAGCGGAGTGAATGATAAAAGCATGGTAAAAGCTTCCAACACGTGTAGGCTATACGTGTTAGTTGTATCTGAAGGTTTTAAAACCCTTTAAAAATTATTTCCTAATTACTGAGGTCTTCCATGTTCTTTGTAAAGAAAAATTAAACAGCTGCAGAGAAGAAAAATAACAAAAACATTTTTATTACTCCCAATCTCACCAACCCCAAATAAACACTAACATTTTCATAAAGCACATTCTATTTTTAATGCATGCACATCTTTCTGCCACAAATGGGATTATAATAAATTCTTATTATTTTATGTTACTTCATAACTTTAACTGGCAACATTCACTTTTTAGCTCCGTATATGATTATGGGTAGAGAAAAAGACTTCTGGTTTTAGCTCTGACTTAACCAGCCCCTGGCAAGCAAGTGATCTTTAAATTTTAGATCCCACGACTGTGAAATAAAGAGTTTGATATCAATGATCCATAAGGCACTTTCCACCTCTATCATTATAATTGTTGATGGATAACTAAAGGAAGAAGGGTGGTGCAGTATTAGTATTGTTACTCTGATATCAGCCAGGTTCTAATTTCAGCTCTACCTGTGAGGTCCTGGGCAGGTTTCTTGACTATCTACTGCCTCAGTTTCCCTTTTTCTAAAATGAGATTAGTGACAGAAGATGCCTTCTAGGGTTGTTGTGAGAATGAAATAGGTAACACCTATGAAACACTTAGAACAATTTCATAGGTAAAGGTCCCACAAACACTGGTGGCTCACGCCTGCAATCCCTGCTACTTGGGACACATCAAAAAGATCAGAAGAATCACAGTTTGAAGCCAGCCTCAAGCAAATAGTTCTCAAGATCCTATCTTGAAAATACCCAACATAAAAAAGGAGCTGGCAGAGTGGCTCAAGTGGTAGAAACAAACAAACAAAAGACAAATACTATGTTCAGGGACCAAGTTTCCTGAAGTGAGAGAGTAAGAACCAATCCTGAAGAAGCCAGTGCTGACTTGAGGATTGATATGGGTTGAGCACGTGAACTAGACATTGTGTTCAGTTTGCCCATTTGCACAATCTTATTTAATCCTCAAAACAAATTTACTGTCTTCATTTTACACACCAGGAAACTAGATCAAGGCTTTCTTAGACTTAGGAAGCTAGTAAAGATCAAACCCAAAGACTATCCCCTGCCAGTTAGTTTTGGCTGAACTGTGGGGTGGTGGTGGTGCAACAAAACCTGCTGTCAATTGGATATTTCATTTAAAAAATAAGTATCTTAGCAATATTCAGCATGAACTTCTTTTTCACCTTAATAAGTCCATTTTAAAACAGTTTCACTGCCAGTTTAAAAAAAGACACAGGGATTTTTGTACATTTTAATTGATTGCTGGATATCTAAGTTAGTGGAGGAGAACTAGGATGTGGGTCTTATAAAAATAATTCATGCTTGACTTAGAAATTTAATTTTATGATTGCAACTGATCCTCTAAAATTTCCCCAAAGTAAACACTTAGTGACAGTAACTGACTCCCGGAGGGTTCTGAATCTAGTGTGACATTTTAACATTTGATTTCTGCATCACTGCCAAAGGACGTCAGAACCCAGTCAAGAGTCCCATGAAAAAGATCATTTCATTTCTGGCTATAATTTTCTTTTCCAAGGAGAAAATTGAAGAATAGACCAAAGTACAAATTATCTTCTATTTTTTAAAAAACCTATTTGTTCTTGAGACAGGGCCTCACTCTGTAGCCCAGGCTGGCTCCGAACTTGCAATCCTCCTGCCGCTACCTTCTGAGTGCTGGGATTATACACCTTCACAACTACGCCAGACTCAAAATGTATTTTAATTAAATGCCACCTCATTGTTTTATGAGGGACACATGCTTTCCTTAATAACGTTTGTTAGAGAAGTTGGCAACTCCTGGCAGTCCTTGCCCACTGTGTGGTGCCTCTGTGGATTCACCCTGACCCTCCCTCCCTTAACCCAATACAAAAACAAAACCATCCAGCCAACTTCTGGTTGCACCAAACAATGAACAATGTAAATATTTCAGATAACATCTATATTTGGATGGAGCCACAACTTTCTGTGCTCAGATTCAACTGTGCCCAGACCCACAGCCACGCCGCGCCCCGATGGGTGACACGGACTGCTTTCTCTGCAAGGCCCCGTGCACTACGTGCCGGCATGCTGCCTGGCCCAGCACCCGCGTTCTTCCCCAGAGCAGTCCAGCTGGCGGGGGAGTCCCCGATCGCCCCCGGGGCTCGCCGCTAGCTCGCAAGCACAGCCCAGCCGCGCGGCGATCACGTTCGCGAGACGGGGGCTCGCGCCCCAGCTGGGCGCTGATTGGCCGCGCCGGGGGGCCCGCGGCCCGGCGATTGGTCCAGGAGATCCGTTCACGTGGTTGGACGCTGATAAGCTGCCTCTTCGGCGCAGGAGTGGCCGGCAGTTCTCCCTGGCGTCGCGCAGAGCCGCTGGGGTGCGGTTTCTCACGGTCTCCCGCCGTCCCTGCCTAATGAGCTGCACCAGGTAGGTTCCGGGCAACTCTTCCTCCCGGAATGGGCGCGAAAGTGCAGCTGCGGGGATGTTGGGGGAGGACGGGAGCTATCGTTCCGTCGGATCTTGCAACCCAGGGGAGGGCGGGTGGATAGACTGCTGAGATGAGTCTGGCACCTGGGAGGTCTTGGAGGTGTGCAAATTGGCGCTGTATTTTGTAGAACCCATTTTGATAATCAGCATCCTAAATCACAAATTGTCTTAACGTGGGTCAGCTTTAGTTTGGATTTCCTCACTGATGTGACTGTTTTCTTTGGATCCTACTCAAGTGTCCCGAATACTTGGGCAGCTTAATTTGTGACATTCTGGATTACTGGTTTAGCTTGGGGGCGAAAATTACAGGGAGATCTTTGCATTCATTCCTTCTCCTCCACTCGTCTTATCATGGTTTGACATAGCAAATTCAGTCAGAGTTTGAGCAAACTCTTAGCCAGGACCTAAAATTTCAGGGAAATAGTCACACTAAAACTTTCTATAAATGGGAAAAAAAAAAAAAAGCCCCCCACAAAACTACTTCAAGTTGCTTCTCTAGACATAAATTAGTGGAAAACTTCTCTAAAAAAATCCTGCCTGGTAACTGTTATTAAGCCTACACAGTATAGCTTTAGCTTTCATTTGTTTGCTCCAAGTTGGTAGGTTTCCCCCCAAAATTCTAGCACTAATAAAGTGAATTCTGTGAATGTTCTTTTGTTATTCATTTTGTGACCATGACCGCTGGCCATTGCTGAGAGCTGCTGAGAAGAGAGTTACTAAAACCAGACTGGCAAATGTCATGTACTGTATTCACACACCTCTGATCTCTAAGGCTGAGATAAGGGAAAATCTGGATTCCATAATGAGTGCTCACAGCCAGAAAAAGGAGCTTCTGGGTGGATGATTCTTGGTTTAATACCACTAAGCATAGTTATGTCTAAATTTTAAATCTTTCTTTTCTTTCTACTTGTGTTCATTGCCAGAACACTAGAAATTACCAGGAAAGTGCAAAGACAACAGATTACCTATAATCATCATCATAGATAACTTTTTAGCGTGTTTCCTGTAAAGTTTGTCAATATTTATAAGCTTATATATCTAATATGTATTTAAAACAGTTTAATTTTCAGGTAACTAGTTTTTAAAAACTTTTATTGTGCATTTTTAAGGTATGCAGCATGATACTATGAAGCACATGGTTAGCAAAATGATAATTATGGTGAAGAAATAACATACCCACTATCTCACAAAGAACCAGCTCTCCCATTTAAGTGTGGACTTGTTATGGGCATCTTTCTGTATAAAATACAGATTTTCGCAGTTTTTCCTTAAGTGTTAGCTTGTATTTCAGTTGGCTCTTTGTGAAAAATGAAGAGTGTAGAATCAAAGTGTGGAGATAATTCTGACTTCCACTCCTAGCCTTCTCACTCTCAGAACTGTTGCATGAGTTTTTTTTATTGCCACTTTTTTTTCTTTTAAGTGGATTACCCTTCCAGAGACGTGTAATCAATTTAATAGCAAAATAAGCAGAATCAGCCAGAGGGAGCAGAGGGTTTGGAAGTATGGTGCTCTGGTCATTAGAATCTCTTTAAGAACGTCTGGCCCTCATGGGTTCCCCCACACCCCCGAGGTTCTCTAATGGCTCTAAGTTCAGGGTATCTGAATTTTTTATAAAAGAACGAAACTTACTGCCTAGTTCATGGTGACCAGTCAGGTTTAAAAGAACCACTGGTTCAGGGCTTACACTTGTAATCCTAGCTATTCGGGAGGTGTAAGTAGGAGGATAGCTGTCCAGATCAGTCTGGACAAAAATACGAGACGCTATAAAAAAAAAAAACTAAAGCAAAAAGGGCAGAGGGTATGAGAAGGTATGGCTCAAGTGGTAGAGTGTTTGCCTAGCAAGTATGAGGCCCCAAGTTCAAACCCAGTGCTACCAAGGAAAAGAAGAAAATCAGTGGTCCAAAACAAATGTTCTTAGACATCATGAAATTCAGCCATTTTATTTTTCAGTTGGGGAAACTGAACCCTCACCCTCCCACCCCCGACCCCAACTGTTTTAAGCATTATCCCACAGCCCTATAGCCTGCAAGGGTAGAAGTATGCAGATCTGGTCACCTGATGCTGTTCTCTTACTACAAGTGATGGCACCTCCCTGATACTCACGGCTGTAATTCTGCCAGTACGAAAATAGTACTGTGTATTTGGGACTGGGAAGGGGGTTTCAGATCAAGGACCATAACCCTGCTTCCTTTTGCATTCCAGAATGATCCAGGTTTTGGATCCACGCCCTTTGACAAGTTCAGTCATGCCAGTGGATGTGGCCATGAGGCTTTGCTTGGCTCATTCGCCACCTCTGAAGAGTTTCCTGGGTCCTTACAATGAATTTCAAAGAAAAAATTTTGTGAATAAATTGAAGCCTTTGAAACCATGTCTCAACCTCAAACAGGAAACCAAATCACAGAATGAGTGGAAACACTCACACAACCAAGCCAAAAAGCGGGTTGTGTTTGCTGACTCCAAGGGCCTGTCTCTCACTGCTATCCATGTCTTCTCTGACCTCCCAGAAGAACCTGCATGGGATCTCCAGTTTGATCTCTTGGACCTTAATGATATCTCCTCTGGCTTAAAACTCCATGAGGAGAAAAACTTGATTTTAGATTTTCCTCAACCTTCAACTGATTACTTAAGTTTCCGGAACCACTTTCAGAAGAACTTAGTCTGTCTGGAGAACTGCTCTTTGCAAGAACGAACAGTGACTGGGACAATCAAAGTGAAAAACATAAGCTTTGAGAAGAGGGTTCAGGTCCGAATTACATTTGACACCTGGAAGAGCTACACCGATGTGGACTGTGTCTATATGAAGAATGTGTACAGCAGCTCAGATAGTGACACCTTCTCATTTGTCATTGACTTACCTCCTGTCATTCCAACTGAGGAGCAAATTGAGTTCTGCATTTCTTACCATGCTAATGGGCAGATCTTCTGGGACAACAACGAGGGTCAGAATTACAGAATTGTCCATGTCCAGTGGAAACCTGATGGAGTACAGACACAGATGACACCTCAAGACTCTGCATTTCACCCAGTGCCCCCTAAGACTGAGTTAGAGTCACCAATCTTTGGAAGTCCGAGGCTAGCAAGTGGGCTGTTCCCAGAATGGCAGAGCTGGGGAAGAATGGAGAACTTGGCCTCTTACAGATGAATTAAGCAACCTAGTGACTGGTCTTGACCTGTCATAGTCCCTATGCAATTCTAGGTCTGTATTGCTCAATATTAGGAAGTGTCTGCTACTTTCCATCAGTAGGTTTAGGTTTGAGCTTTTGAGGCCTGGCTACAGAAAATAGAGCCACTTGGGAACTTAGCATTGGGGTTCATAAAGATGATGCTACCCATTTGTTTTGGAGGATCAAGTAACAGCCTGGGAGCTATCTTTATTATAGTAATATTTTTTTAGTGCCCTTCCTCCCTCCCTTGCAGTTCACTAGCTTTCAGGTTGGGGAAGGAGAAGTTGAGGAAGGCCAACGGAGGGTGATGGAAAGCTGTGTTAATGGTCTGAGGAACGTGTGAAAGGTGTACACTAAGGGCTCTGAAGCTGAAGTCAGTAGGAGTGGGAGGTCTGATAATTGTTGGTGAGAAAATGTAAGGTTGGCTTGTGTTTTAAAGTTGGTTTTACAGTTTTCTCTTGGAGAAATAACTCAGAGGGGAAAGAGATCCATTCTATGTACTCTTGTAGAGAAAAGCCAAATAAACTTTCAGGGTGTTGGATGGTCTGGGGGAAGATGAACTATAATTCTGGAGACTCGAGATCTTAAGTGAAATCTTTCTGTTTAAACGTGGTCTATCAAAAATCATGAGTTGAGGCAAGTTTAACCACATCTGGCTTTCAAGTCCTAATGTGACAAGTGACTGTGATCAAGGCATCATACTCGGGTTCTTGGTACAGAACGCTGTCTAATAAAAGTAATGCCATCACCAATGGCTAGCATGTCATGATGGCCCTTTATAAGTGCCTTAGTTAAACCAGAACACTGTAGTTGTTTAACCCACATATCTGATAACTCATGAGTTTTTGGCCTCACATGAAGGTCCACTCATTGCTCCTGAAATACTGTTGTATCTTCAGGAGTGTTGTCAATGTACACAACTCACATCCTTCATATTGAAGGTGACTCATTTTTCTGCTATGCTTTTTTGATGTGAAGTTTGAAGTGAGGACTGAGACTAGGGTTCTCAATGCAAGAATCCAGTACCTTGAACATAGAAGTAGCTATCTCTTGCCTATTTTTATCTTGTTTTTAAAATTTCTTTTGTAGTTAAAAATGTTTTTTTTTTTAAATGAATGTGAACTGTTTGGAATTTGAGTTCTTTTCATGTGTGCATAAATCCAGTCAGTAAGATCTCGAGGACAGGAGTCCAAGAATGTTTGCCGTTATCATTGTGCATGTCCATTGAAGAAGTGTTGAGAGGATGCAGTTAATTTTAACACGTGTTATCTGCCATGCTGGAAAAGTACTAGTGGAGTAACTTTGCTGTGACATTATTTGAGCTTTGGCTAGCATACATAATTTTTCTACTGTAAATGTTTGACTTTCGTCTAGCTATCCTTTGTGGGCTTCTCACTTTAAGAATAAATGTGTTTGATAAAGATCTGAGACTGTTTTCTTTCTCAAAGTCATAATTAGTCAAGTAAGAAACTATCAACTGACATTCCTCTGTTTTGTTTATGATTAACCAAGCGAGTTAGTTTGGACCAGACAGTGGATCCACCTGAAAGTATTCACAAGGCCCCAGTCTCATTAGTGGCCACATATTGACCACTGGGATTGGGGCCCTGGGGCAATGAATTGAGCTGTGATTGTCCCCATCTATGGTTATAGACTTACCACACATGATACCTGTTGGGTCAGGGTTATCTTGGAGGCCACATGTCAGCTTTACATTGGGGGAGGAGATGGTGTGGGAAGGGCTGTGGTGACTCCTATTGCTTGAGCTCCAGAACCTGCCTGAAAGGCAAAGTTTGGAGCAGCAGAGGGGTCCAGGAAGGAGCAGTGGACTGAGGGGAAGCACAGCTCCTTGGGGTGAGAGGCAACAGGTTCATGACCCTTAGTTGCTGCTTCAGTTCTACCTAAAATAGAAAGGGTTTCTGCATAGTGTATCTTAAGACAAAGACATAATCAATGACCAACCTACTGGAAAGACACAATTAAGAAGAATAATTTTTTTTAAATCATAATAACCTCAGCATCACAAGTTGTTAATTATAAGTCTGAAAACTATATCCAACCACAGATGTAATTTATTTGACATGCAAGATTTCAAAAATAATTTATTGCCAAGCTTGAACAATCAGCAGGTTACATAAAATACAGATTTCATTTTTTTCCTCTAAAAATCGCAAGATCTTTCTTTATGGCACCTATGTGGCGCTGAATAGAAGCCGTCCCCTTTTAGATGGGGCATGCTGGTCTCTATGGGGTGAGCTGCCTTGTGTTGGTCAAAGTCCAATGGCTGTGTTCAAAGTCCAATCAGCTGGCCAGCATAGGTGTTGGAGTTCATAACCCCTATTTTGTCTCTTCTGGTTCTCTATTCGTGCTGATGGGTGAAGAATACGCTCTCCCAAGCAATGGAGAATATTCAAATGTGGGTCTAACAGGGGCACTGAAAAATACGGGACTCAAAATGCCTAATTATATAAAAGAAGCTAAGCTCCAGACAGGGGAACTGACTAGTTCAAGGTTCTGTGCCAGGTTGAGCTGCTGGTCAGTAGCTTTTGGCCTAGTCTTCTTCCTGCTTTTCATACTAAATTCCTGAAGGAGACCCTCCTTCTCTAGTGGCCCCCTGTCTGAAAGCAGGAGCTATTTGCAGGCGGGCATGATTCTGGCAAGCTCTTGCCGGCCATCTGTGTCAATTTGATCGAACCTAGGCTGATTCCGAGGAAGGATATGGTCAAAGAGCAGGGCCTTTACTGTAGAATGGAATTATTCTAATTTCACATCCTGTAATTTCACTTAAGTAACTCTGTCTTAAAATCATCATTAGGGCTCAGAGAATTCCTCCACCATTTTTTTTTTTTTTTGACAGCACTGGGGGTTGAACTTAGGGCTTCACGTGAGGCAGACACTCTACCACTTGAGCCACTCTTGCCAGTCTGTTTTTGTGATGATTTTTTTCCAGATAGGGTCTGGCGAACTATTTTCCTGGGGCTGGCTTCTGATTTCTGCCTCCTGAGTAGCTAGCTGTGTCACTATTTTTTTAATGGATGAATAAACTTTCCCAAAAGGTCTTCTCACCCTCCGCTGCAGACTTGAAGACTTCTTCCCCAGGTTTCCCTGATCAGAGTTAAGTTACATGTCTGTGGATAAATCATCTCTGGACCGGGGTGGGGGGGTGGGGGGCGATGGGGGGGGTGGGGGGGTGAGGGGGGAATAAGACTCTGTGATTGGCTCAGACAAGTCTGATTTCCCATTCCTAACCCCAAACCAACCAACCAGGGGCTAGAGGAGGTCTAGTGCTCTGAAACAAAGTTCCATGGGGACCTTCACGTTCACGCAATTTTGTTTCATACAGTCTTCCACACGATTGAGGCCGTGTTTTGCCAGCAACTCAAAAACAATCATGGGGCCAAAGAATCAACTTTTTAGTCTGTAATGAAGAATAGAATTGAATTGTTCAGAGCATCCAAAAAACCACATAATTTCCACGTTAAGAGATTAGGTCTGGGGACCAGCAGAACTGGCTTTAAGCCAGTTGTGTGATACAACTTTTACTGAAGTGACTTGATACCTCCAAGACTCAGTGTTTCCATCTTTAAATTGGAACGAGCAATTCCTACCTCACAAAGTGATCATGTAGTGAGGTGCTTAGCAAATTATTCTGCCAATAATATGCGATAAGTAAATATGAGTAATTACTAATACTTATCTATTAATTCCAACATCTGAACATCCCATGGGTCTAATTAGGTTGTACACTTTTTTCTTCCTTCAGAAAAATTTTAATATGGCCTTGCCTGTTGGCATCCTGGCAATTTTTGATTAAATGACAAATATTGTGTATAACAAAATTTAAAATAATTTAAAGAAAATAGAGGAAAAGGTGAAGAAAGATGAAAAGATAGCATATAAGCCCTTTATTCTGCTAAACAGGATTGAGTCAATGCAGGCTTGCAGTCTTGTAAAAGTCCTATTTATCTTGGTTTACTCTAATTTATGGCCTTCTACAGCTGAGAGTTTAGTGTATACAGCAGGGTTCTTGCTCCTGGAAGGTTCTGAACTCTAATTCTTATTTCCCCAGCACCTGGGGACTGCCAGAGTCTAGCTTTCCAGAGTCATTCTGGTGAGCCTCACTCCCCACCCTGTGCAGTTTCTGATTTGGCAAATATCTTAAGAGGAAAATGAGCCAAGTGTTAGGTTCAGTTTCTGCATACTCCCTCACAGGATATTGATATTCTTAAATTTTCATCTTGTCAGCTCCCTGAGGTCATCTATAGCCCTGTCAATGCCACTGCCTTCTTCCAAGGCAAAGTCCAGGATTTCAGATTCATGCCTTTACCCAGAATCAGCAAACATATCCAGGTTAAAAAAATAGCTGCAATGTGTTAGCACAACCTAACCATGAAGTCCTAGCTGGTTCAGTGGCTTTCCAATGACGTCAAACAGATTTTTGATATTTTTTCTAGCATTTTGTGTTGCTCTTTGTGTTAGTATTGATCTGCCTCAAACTGCTGTATAGCATAGGTAAAATTGAAAGTCTTATCTGATATTTGATTCTCTCTGTATAGTGACTGCTTATTTTAACACAGTTTCTAACAAACTCTACAATGTTTTCAAATGAGTTGGGGGGGTATTTCTTATGATTCATATACAAAGATTTGTGTGTTGAAGGCTTGGTCCCAAACTGTTGGAAACTTTAGGAGGTGGGGCCCAGCTGAGAGGAGTAGGTCACTGGAGACATGACTTTGAAGGGCATATGTGTGTTCTGAATCTTTCTTTGTCTCTTTCTGCTTCCTGTCTGCCATGAAGTGAGTAGCCTTTCCCACATGCTCCCACTGCCACGATGTCTCTTCCTCTCCTCAGGCCCCAAACAATGGAACTAGTTGACAATGGCCTGAAATCTCTGAAACGATAGGTCCCAATAAATCTCTCTCCTGATTCCCCCAGGTACTGTCACAGCGATGAAAATCCCAAATAGCACAGAAAATTGACACCAGAGAAGTGGAGTTGTTATCATGACTAAATCACGTGTCTCAGAAGCCTTTGGAGCTGGTTTTCAGGAGATCTTGGAAAGGTTTGAAGACACAGGCTATATACAGGCTTCTTAGAATACTGCAAACAAAGCTTAATGTGTGATTCTGATGGGAACTTAGAAAACCAGAATGCTAGGGCTGGAGACATGGCTCAAGTGGTAGAGCACTTGCCTAGCAAGTACAAGTCCCTGAGTTAAAAAACCCCAGTCCTGCAAAAACCAAACAAAAAACAAACAACAACAACAACAAAGAAAAACAGAATGCTAATAGAAATGTGGGCAGTAAAGACTGTGCTAATGAGGTTTTAGATGGGAGCAATGACTCTATTGGGAATTCATGTTACATTCTTGCAAAGAACTTGTCTAAATTTTGTCCATTCCCTGGGAATTTGTGGGGAGCTGAGTTTAAAACTAATGGACTAATTAATCAATTATTGCTGGCTGCTCTTAGCCAGGTTTACAGTGAGAATTTGGAACAAAAATGCAGAGTGGAAAGACTTTGAAAAATAGGCAGTTTGGTGAGAAAAGAAGAGATTTTCACCATTGGAAAGAACCCTATTGCACCTGAACAATAGGAAAGATGCCTTGAAGTTATTTCACAAATAAGCAAGACCTTACCCATCATATGGTCCAGGGTGTAAAAGTGAAAATTCATTCCCTTGAAAAGAAACCACTGCTGGGGCACCCTGCTCACTTAGGGACAGCTAGAAAGTTGTTTCCTGAGGACTGATTTTGCTTATGCTCAAGTATTCAGAGGCTCTTGCAGCTGGGGTCTAGGTGGGCCTGGATACTGCTCCCATTAACAACAGAGCTTGGCATTGGCCTTGTGGTGCTGGTTTTACAGGTATACAGAGTGAAAGTTATGGGTCATGGAGGATGCTACCATATTTCAAAGGAAAGACTACGAGGCCAGATGACATATGGCAGGGTTGAATCCTTGCATCCGCCCATGAGAGGGCAATGTGTAACTCGTTTCTTGATTTTTACAGGGGCTTACAACTAAGAGTTTCTTTGAGTCTCAGAGGAGACAGAGAACAATGCTGGAACTGTTCAGACTACGGAAACTTGGAAATGAACTAAAAGCATTTTGCATTATGAGACCTATGAACCTTTTGGGGTTCACGTCCAGGAGTGGAGTGTTATGGTTTGGATACGATGTGTCCTCCAGCCCAAAGGCTTGGTCCTCAGCTGGTGGCACATTTTGGGAGGTGGTAGAAACTTTAGAATGCAGGGCCCAGCTGGAGGAAGTAGGTCACTTGGGGCTTGCTTTTTGAAGTGCATATCTTGTCCCAGGCCCCTTGCTCTCTCTCTCTCTGCTTCCTGGCCTCCATGAGGTGAGCAGCCTCTACCACTTGCTCCTGCCACCATGTTTCTGTCTAACCTCAGGCTTGAAACGACAGAACCAGCCAACCATGTAATGAAACTGTGAGCAAAACAAATCTTTCCTCCTTTCAGTTGTTTTTCTCAGGTATT